CGCCGCTCCCCTTCGCAGATTGCTCAAGAAAGAGGCAACCTGGCAGTGGGACAAAGACTGTACGTCTGCGCTAAAGAAGTTAAAGCGCGCATTGATAGAGTATCCTGTCCTCAAAGTCGCAGATCCGTCCTTGCCATTTGTCATCACCGGACGCGAGTCAGTACGGTATAGGCGCCGTGTTACAGCAAGACGACGGCAATGGCTACAGACCCGTAAAGTTCATGTCAGCGAGGATGCCCTCAGAAAAGGTAGCTACCTCGACTTATGAGAGAGAACTCTATGCTCTCAGGCAGGCCTTAGAGCACTGGAAGCATTACCTACTTGGGAGGCACGTTAAGGTGTATTCAAACCACGAGACTCTTAGGTGGCTGAAGACACAACCCAAAATGACACCTAAATTGACTAGGTGGGCCGCTGAGATAGACCAGTATGACTTCGAGCTCAAGCCTGTTAAAGGCAAGTACAATGTAGTTGCGGACGCCCTAAGTAGGTGATCAGACTACTTTGGAGCCATAGTTCACTATCTGGATATAGGGAGTGACGTGCAGGAGAGAGTTAGACAGGCGTATGCGCAGGACCCTATTTATAGTGACCTCCTCAAGAGAGTTAAGGAGGCCCCAGAGACCGAACCACATTACCGCACTACAGGAGGATTATTGTTTGAGAAGACCGACGTAGTAGACCGTCTGTGCGTTCCTAACAGCAAGGAGATCCGTAGTTTGATCCTAGGGGAATGCCACGACACAAAGGGACATTTCGGTTGGCGAAAGACCAATCTGATGCATGCGTACACTTGGCCAGGAATGAAAGCTGATTGCATAGAGTACGTCCACAGTTGCTAAGTGTGCCAGAGAAACAAGACTACTACGCGTGCCCCTCTAGGTCTTCTCAGACCCTTGCCTATTCCTGATCAGCCAAGAGACTCAGTGTCCATTAACTTTATGGACGCTGGCGTGAAGAGTAGGCATGGTAAGAGCCAAGTCATGGTCATAGTTGATAGATTCAGTAAGTATGCTGTTTTTGTTCCTTTGCCTGCAGAGGCACGCACCTATCTAGTTATTCAGAAGTTTTTTTATTTTTGGGTTAGTGAGCATGGAGTCCCATTGTCCATCGTTAGTGATAGAGATACCCGCTTTACAAGTCAGAACTGGCAGGAATTGATGAAAGTTTATGGGTCACAGTTGTTGATGTCCTCTGGCCGTCATCCAGAGACTAATGACCAGACTGAACAGATGAACAAGATCCTGCAACAAGTTCTGCGCATGTACATTAGACCAGATCAAGTCGATTGGGACGAGATGTTGCCCAAGGTAGCCAGTGCGTATAACAACAGCGTGCACTTGTCCACTTGTCGCACTCCCAACGAGTTACACAAGTCCTTTAGACCGCGTAGACCGTTTGAGGGACTTAACCGGGACCAGATTCACAGGCTACCGCCCGGTACCAGGGAGTTTGCGATACAGCACGAGAAAGGACTAGCTACAGTTGTCGAGAACGTCAGGAAGGCCCAGCATAGAATGATAGAGCAAGCCAACAAGCATCGTCGCCCATCGCAATTCCAAGTAGGTGACTTAGTCTGGGTCAAGTCCAAAGAGTTTGCTCCTGAGGARAACATCTCGCAGAAGTTACTACCAGCGTACAGGGGACCATGGCCAGTTCTAGAAGTCAAGGGTGGAGAGGATGGGCCGTCCTACACAGTTGAGATCCCAGCACACCTTCACACCTACCCCGTATTTCATGCGTCGAAGTTGTTGCCATGTGTTACAAGCCAGCAGTTCCCATTTGGAAGATCAATGATACCCCCAGACATGGACGGAAGGTACGACATTGACGGCATTGTAGGTGAAGATGTATTCCAAACAGGAGGTAGAGGTCGTCCACAAAAACAGTATAAGGTTCGGTTTGCTTATCAGGAACCAGGGGACGACTGCTGGTTTACTAGAACAGAACTTCTAGAAACAGCTCCCGACGTAGTTAGAGCCTATGAGAGAGATAAGAAAGGTAAAGGTCCTGCCTTGGACTGAGTTATTCTCGGAGGACCTCGAATTTAGGCTGGCGCGAGTGAAACGGTATTCATCTGTTCGCAGTAGCGAATGCAGATCCCAGGGCTCGATCCCTAGACTTTACCTTACCTGTGTACATTACCTGTGTCGACCCCAGGAGTTGAACCCACGACCTGTGTCTGTTCCCACAGTTGGTAGACTGTCGTAGGGTCTGTAGATTGTAGGGGTCCAATCTGTAGACCTGTCGCATAGTGGTCTTAGGGAGTTCTAGAAGTCGTAGCTGTAGGACCTCTGAAAGGTCAAGGTCGTAGCTGCTACAGTCCTGAAAGGTCAAGGTCGTACCTGCTACAGTATCTGAAAGACCAGGACTGAAACTTCCGGAAGGTCCTGGTACTGGCCTTTCGAAGCTGCTCACGTTTAGGCTGAGGCAAGTGGGCAAGTGGTGGAGTTCACCCATGCTGAGTCAGCAATCCCAGTCCCAGTCAGTCCTAGTCCAGTCAAGCAAGTACCGCATGGGACTGTATGCACCGCGGGCATGGGAAAGGGGCAGACCAACGAGATACAGAAGTATAAATCAAGAGGCAGTGCCCAGCCATTCATTCATTCCTGCGTAAGCCATGCGGAAGCGCTGCCACAGTGACTTGTGCGAGGTGGTCTGCAATGAGCCCGAAGACGAAGTGGGCAAGAAGGAGAGCTTAGCCATAGCGATAGGAGTAGTAGCGGCCATAGCCACCATAGCTGATAGAGGTGTGTGTGTGTGTGTGTGTACAGTGTGACGCATGTGGGATATCCAGGGTGATCCTGTGTGCGTGAACAGAGAGTTGTACAGGCGCTGTGCCGCCATAGCCATTTGAAGTGAACTTGTATCTGAGCTGCGTTCTTGGTTACTATACCTCTGAGTTTTGAGTGGGTGCTTGTCGCCAGTTTGCTGCGCAACCTGTTTACATGCATGAGAAGTGTGAAAGATAACGAGTCTGATTGCAACTGCTGTTACATTAAGAAAGATTGGGGGCGAGGTTCCACTTTCCTTTGCACGGATTAACATATATATTATTATGTTGGCTGTCGATCTCCGAACGAATTGTCGGTTTCTGTGTGTTGAATGATTGAGTTAGGTTAGGGAATGACGTCAAATGGTCATCACCAATATACATCACATAGCAAGTTACGACTCATGAGAGATAGTCAGCCTGCAAAATATCTGAAATCTCGAACTCGAGTTGAACTCAACAAAAAATCATCAGAGAAACAAAGAGTTCGTCGTTAACCACTGTAACACTACAGCGCTCCCTAGGGACCGCCATATCCACTATCTCAAGATGTAAGAGTGGAACGCTATAGTAGAGTACTCTGGCTTTCCCCTACCGGTTTCAGCTGCTGCCAGATCCAGCCTCATCAGGGGGACGAGACTTCGAGATGGCGGGTAACCAGGGAACTACTGGTAATATACTAGACTTCTTCCATCCTCTTTGTTCCATCCCATCTTCGTCAACTTCCCTGTGTTTCGACATGTTTCCAGGAATTACTTTAAGAGTCTTAAGACCTAGTTTGCTATTTTCCCGCCGAGTTACTGTCTACCACAGTCAGAATTCCTTTCGTACGCCAGACCTGTATTTACCGCATTTCAGAATTCCTTTCTTACGCCAGACCTGTATTTACTATTTACAGTACTTCAGCTTTCTACGCGTTTTTTCGAGCGCCCTGTACCTCATATATCCGCTGACCTGTATTTCCGAAATCAGTTGAAAATTCGAAATCCGGAATCCACAGTAGATCCTCAGGCTATCCGGGCTGTCAAATCTACTTTGTCCTTTTGAGCTGTGCTGTTCTACGCGGTTTACTCAGTCCTCTTTTTCACTTGCTCGTCAAATTTGAAAGCTTCAGCCCCGTCCAGGATTTTGCCTCGTGCTCCCCTTCTCGTAGATCCTCATCTTCAGATCCTGCTTAGTTCTTATGTGATCCGAAGGTAAGTATTTCCCCGTCTTCTTTTCCCCTTTACCATTCACAAAATTTCTGTCCCAGGGGGCCATGCGAGTTCTCAAGGTTTTTTTTTTTTTTTTTTTTTTTTTTTTTAACCCGTTTTGGTGGGTACAAGTGCCAGTCACCCTCGTACAGAGGCCCATGCTAATCTTCTCTGTGTGCCTTTTTAATTCATCGGGTTCCATTAAGATTCAATCTTAGGTCTGCCCGTCAACAGTTCAGGTGTATACCTACTATACCATTGTTTATTGAATTAATCATTATAAATGGTTTGTTACAATTTTTTTTTGTCCATAGCCATTATGGATATATACAAAATCTTGTCTATAATACTCTATATCCGTTATGGATATAGACAAACCAACCTATTGGTAAGCTACCGGCTATTTCATCCTCCCGTGACAAAGTTCTGATATTAAACCGATGGCAGAACAGATAGTACACTTGATCTATTTTTAGCCAAAAGGCCGAGAAAGGTATAACCCAGTGACAAAGTTCTAGTACACTTGATCTATTGTTTAGCCAAAAGGCCGAGAAAGGTATAACCCCGTGACAAAGTTCTAGTACACTTGATCTATTTTAGCCAAAAGGCCGAGAAAGGTATAACCCGTGACAAAGTTCTACTTGCATGGATTAGCAAATAGGAGCTGTAAGGTAAGGTGGTATAAGGGAGATCAACGGCCAATGGGCCTCGCCCTCCAGTAGGTAGGAAGAGCTTCGAGTACTTTGTTGTTGGTGGCGGCGAGAGAGGGCTCTCATTGACAATTGGGTCTGGGCGGACAATTGAGTCTGGGCGCTGCTTTGGTTCTCCTTCAGTGTGATTTCGGTGAATTTTTTTCTGCTTTCTGGACGGCGTACGACTATCTGGCATTCAATGTGATTCTGTCATTTCGCTATCACTCATTCTCCTTGCACTGCTCTCTCTCTCATTTTTTTTTTGTTTTTTTTTGAATTGCCGTTTGTTCTTGCGGTGTGCTACATTCAACCTTTTTTTTTTTTTTTGTTGTAATGCTGCAGACTGCCAATTATGTAAGCTGGGTGCCTAATGATCCAGCTGCGGCACAGACGCTGAATGTGAACTTTGAGACAATAAAAGGTAAACAGTGCTAAACACACGTTAGTCCTGCTAATTGAACCCTAGGTAAGGGGTATTTACTATTTAATATTTATTGGCCTTATTTGGCCATTGTAGTACATTAAGACAAATCGATCTGAGTCGCTGGGGCGCCCTTCTATCAAATTTAATGATTTTAATATCATTTTATTTTTTAGCATCATTCAAAATTTTGATGTCATTTTATCGTATGCAATTTAAGTCGATCAGTGGTAGGTCCCTCACTGGCCAGCGCCCAGTTTATGCTTCGTTTTCGTGCATCTGCTTTTTTTTTTTTTTTTTTTTTTGCCGTCTTTTGATTTGTGATAATAGTTGCTGCCAAAATCTGCTCCCAACCAATAGAAAGAAGCCCCCTTTTTACCCAAAAAAAAGGAAAAAGGAAAAGAAAGACTGCCGATATCTCCCCACCAAATCTCGTGCGCCTGGGGACATATTTTCCAACAAGGAGTAAACACAATGAGTACTGCTAACAAGAATCATCCATTACATTTGCAGTGACACTTGTCAATTAGTTGTAGGGAGAGCATATGCTTCTCTGTCCCTGTGTGTTTCTGTGTCCGTCTATCCCTAGCCTCTTTCCCCCTTTCCCCCTTTCCCCCTTTCCCCCTCTCTCCCTGTCTGCCTACCCTCCTGCCTGGTTGCCCACCTGCCACACCCATCTGTCTGCATTACATATCAGTAACGCTTGTCAGTGAATAGTAGCGCAAAAATCTCTCTTTCTCCCCCTCCCCCCCACCCTCTGTCTTTGTCTGTCTGGCTGTCTGCCCACCACCTGCCTACCTGTGTGCATCACATTTCCAACGACTCTTGTGAATTAGTAACGAAAGCCTCTCTCTCTCTCCCTCTGTGTCTCTGTGTCTCTGTGTCTGTGTGTGGGTGTGTGGGTGTGTGGGTGTGTGGGTGTGTGGGTGTGTGGGTGTGTGGGTGTGTGGGTGTGTGGGTGTGTGTCTCTCGCTCCCTCTCACTTCCCCACTCCCTCTCTCTGCCGTTGCCTGTCTGCGTGTCTGCCCACCCACCCGCATGTCTGTCTGCCTGCCTGCCTGTACCCTGTGTTTTCAATCTGAATGGTCTTCGCAGCAATAGAATGAATGCATGGTTGTTAAAGCTGTCATATTTGGGGCGACTCTCAGTTCAGATAGCGCGATAATCACCGTGCGTTCTATTCGGGCGAAGACGGTAGCGCCATTCTGGTGCCCCACAAGTGTCACCATATACCGCATCGCAAACTAAACCAGTCTCTGGCATTTGTGTATGCGGCGTCACAGACGGGTGTCAATACAGGAAACTAATACCTATCCTTTGATTAAGTTTCCAATCTGAGAAATTCCCAAATCGGTGATTGAATCACAGCAATCCATTCGCGAGAGCCTTGTCAGCATAGTCCACTCACGACTCCCGTGCAGTGAGAGGAGTTGCAAGTGAGTGGGGGTACGCTGATGAGGACTCGCAACCCCACTCTCCTGCAATTGCTTTGCCATACGGTTAAGGTGCTGCACATGAAGGTAGTGGGTACCATGCTGTTGATATGTATTTCAAGATTGTTTTTTGTTTTTTGTGCTTCTTTTTGCTGATGTTGCCTTGTGTGTGTGTGTGTGTGTGTGTGTGTGTGTGTGTGTGTGTGTGTGTGTGTGCGTGTGCGCATGTATATGCACACATGTTTGTTGTCATGTTCGCGCTATACACATCCACAAAAAAAAGCACGACTGCACCGGACTGTGTCGTCGGAATTTCGCTGACTCATCAGGAGGTTGTGTGTGTGTGTGTGTGTGTGTTGGCAGCTCATCATTTCAGTAGTGCGACTTCAAAGAAGGCTCTGCTGAAGCTTGGTACCAGCACAGACCCAAAAGTTTGTGGCTTCACCACAGCTACATTCACCTTTGACCCTTTTTTTTCTTTTTAAGTGGGTTCAGAAGGGGTTAGCCCCAATTTAGACCTTGATGTTGTTGTTGGATGCAACAGGATTTGAACTCGTGATCCATTTATACATTTTTGGACAGCTCCTACAGGGGATGCGTCTTTTGGACGACCACAAGGCTGGGTCGAGGGTATTGCACCCTTTAGATTGTACTTCGGTTCTCTGTCTGATTTGTCCTTCATTTGTTGCTGGAGGGAGGGGGGTGTGGGGGGTCATAAGTGGTTGGATGGTACAGACAGTGCGGCTTATAAAATAGCAGGTGATGCATTTTTGTAAGGCTTACAAAAATGCTCAGTTTTTTGGGCCCATTGGTACCTTTGATTGTTGGCTATGTTGAATGTGCTAAGAAGATCTTCGAATGGGCCCAAAAACTGGGCTTGGTGGGGCCATTGCCAGATATGTTAGCACATTTTTAGTCCTGGCTATATGAACGTGCCTTCACCGCTGTGCCAGGAGTATCAAGCCCAGTTGAGGGGCCTATACGAACGTGTCCTACCATTCTGCCAAGACTCTGAAGGGTTATACGTATATATATTAAGGTGGATTATCAGTTACAGTGTAATCAGTTAGGGGACTCTGCAGACTGAAGAGGGGTTCTGCCTCCTGATGAGTGGGTGAAACTCCGACGGAACAGTTTGTCACAGCCCCTCGTTTGTTGTCCTCTTCTTCCTCTCTGCCTTACGGTTTACCGGACAGTTCTGTTTGACTGAAACGGTTTTCACCTTTAGCAGTAGCGGATGCAGTGCCCAGGGTTCGATCCCTAGACCTCACCTTACCCATGTACAGTATCTGTGTGGACCCCGGGAGTTGAACCTGTGACCTGTGTATTCGTAGACAGCTGGTAGGTCTGTCGTAGGTCCATAGGCAGCAGGGGTTCGATCTGTAGATCTGTAGCGTAGAAGTCTTAGTGAGTTCTGGAAGCCTAGTTGTAGACCTTCTAGAAGGTAGGCAAGTGGGCAAGTGGTCAAGTGGCGAGGCAAGTGGTGGACTAAACCGCAGTGCAACGGCAGTACAACGTGGGTAGGATGGCGGTGAGTCCACAGTCAGTCAGCAGAAGGTCCAGTCAGTCCCAGTTCGGTCCAGCAAGTACCACAGGGGGACTGTAAGCACCATGGGCCGATGGCAAAGGGCAGACCAACGAGTTTCTGAAGTATAAATCAAGAGGCAGCGCCCAGCCATTCATTCATTCCTGCGTGAGCCATGCGGAAGCGCTGCCACAGCGACTTGTGCAAGGAGGTCTGCAGATGAGCCCGGAGGTTGCAGTGGGCGAGAGGGAGAGGGAGTTAGTATAGCGATAGGTTAGAGGCAGCCATAGCTGCCATAGCTGTAGTTAGTAGAGAGTGTGTGTACGTGTGTTGAGTGTTCAGAGTGATGCGTGTGGGATATCCAGGGTGATCCAGTGTGTGTAAACAGTAAGTTGTTTGGGCGCTGAAGTCGCCATAGCCAATTGAGAGTGAACTCGTATCTGAAGCCATATCTCTGAATTTTGAGTGGG